GGGAGGGAGAAACTAAGATGTCTATCTAAGTAAGCAAAACATTATTATCTGCTTAAATATTAACCCACCAAGTGCCAGAGAGTTTACAGTCCAGCCACTGATGTGTTGCTGAAGAGCAACTGATTGGCATCCCAGTCAGCTATTTTCAACAACTTTTTTGAGGTTTCAATCATTGCCCAATTGGCAGTTATGCTATGGACGTGTTAATCATTGGGGTGCAGGGTTTTGAATTCAGGATTATCACCGAGGGAATAAAAGGAGAAGTTTACTTCTTTTCTCGGAGAGTTGTCAGGGTATAGAATGGTTTTCCAGGGGTGGCTATTAGAGCAACGGCAATTTAAAAGAGAATTGAACAAGCACCTGCAAAGAAAGAGTATTAGAGGGTACAGGGAACGAGCAGGGAATTTGGATTAGGATGGATGGTGTCTTTGAGGTGCAAAGACCAACATAAAAAAATGTTGTATTTCTAGAAGTACAACACATTCTACCAATGTACTTCTGTAGTTCTGAGGTTTCGATGGGCAGGAAAGTGGCTGTCATAAATCTCCGTGAGATGTTATCGTGACTGAAAAACACTACTCTATATAGGAGCAAGTTATGAGAAAATTATCAGAAAATGTTTCCTTTTCTTCCAGTGCCCACATTTTGGAGGCTTGGGAATTTATTTTAAGGAAAGGCTTTGAGCCTTCTTGGTTTATATGGTTCAGTACCTCACCTTGCACTTCCAATTTACTCACCAAGCAATTGTTGAACTTAAACACAGACTTTCATTTAACAAAACAAGTATTCATAATTCGGCTGCTGTAATGATGTCCATTTCACAAACCTATATATCAACTGTTTATTGTTAAATACTGCTGCAATTTGTGCCCAGAAGCTATTAACTAAGAGATGCTCCATCTCACCATAACAATACATCTTTACTTATCCAATGTCTTTGCATAAGTATATCCTAAAAACTTGCACTGCAAATACATGCCCAATCCTCGAAAGGACACCCACCTCCTTAGCATGATCCCAAATAAGAGACAAAATATTGCCTGATAGTAATCAAAATAAATTGGCACTCTATCGTAGTGCTGGGGTGTGTTGCATTGTTGGAGGTGCTGTCCTTTGGATAAATGTCAAACTGAGGCCCAATCTGCCTGTTCAGGTATATGTTAAAGATCCCTTGGTGTATTTGAAAAGAGTACTCAAATCACTCCAAGTTACAGTAAATCTTGTGAAGTCCTTTGGGACAACCACCTGACATGAAAGGAGTTACATCAAATGCAAGGATTGTTATTATATTTACCCTCAACTTAAGCCCAACATAAAAACACAGGAATACTTACGATAGCATCTTCAGATAATTCAGGTGGAATAAAATGTAATTAGAGATCTTAGTTCTCCAAAGTCTAGGGTATTTCTTTCTTTCACCATTAAAGCTGACTTAATTAAAATAAAAACAAGACCCTATGAGTTCTGTTTGTTCAAAGGATTCGATTCACCAAGTCATTTTACTGAACCAACTTGGTGCTGACCCGTGGAAAGATTTCATAAAACATGTATAAACATAGATCAATTGTGTTATTCACATGCTCAGTGCATGGTTTCAAGGTGTTTTATTTGAGCCTGAAGCAACTTTATAATAATAATAATAATAATCCTTGCATTTGATATAGCGCTGTTCACGTTGGGAGGACGTCCCAAAGCGCTTCACAGAACACACTGTAAAGTGAATTGACTATATTTGTGGGCGAACGTGGCAGCCAATTGCGCACAGTATTGTCCCACAAACAGTCGTAGATTGAAAATGACCAATTTAATTATTATTTTTTGTTTTTGGAGGGATTATTATTAGGAGTGTGGAGTAAGGAAACTTGCCCAAGGTTTCGCCCTGCCTGGAATTGAACTCAGGTCTCTCACTTGCAAAGTGAATGCTCTAACCACTAAGCTACAGGACTCCATGCAACATCTAAGATTTGTACTTGTGATCCATAAACAACAGCATTATTCAATTAAATGTTTTGAGAATTAAAAGTCTATTCCAACCCCTCTGAGTCAAAAGACGCGGTGATATTTAGTTCCATAAACAACAACAGAATTACATTTGTATAGCGCTTTCACGACCCAAATTTAAATAGTTTTACATTCTTATAGGTATCAATTCCTTGGATAGTACCACATGAGGCCCTTCTTTTGATAAACAGGACCCAAGGTTTATCACTCTATTCTACCACTAGAAATAATAATAATCCTTGCATTTGATATAGCGCCTTATCTTTGAGATGTCCCAAAGCACTTCACAGAATATACTGTAAAGTGAATTGACTGTATATTTTGTGGGCAAAAATAAATTGGATGCAGATTTGCCAGAGACAATCCAACACCAGCAGCAAAAGTGTTGAGACCATCAGCACTAGACTGCCATAGATAGGGCACATTCCACCCATTGCCCCCACACATATGCACGGCCTCTGCATGTATACAGGTACATACAAACAATTGAGTTTCACTCTGGACTAATGTGAAAAAGAAAGTGACTGTAGCAACAGGCTGGAGAAACTAGTGTTTGTGATTTCATTTAAAATGTCCTTCATGACAAAATTGGTCACTTCAATCCACGACTGTTTGTGGGACACAGTTGTATACAATTGCCTTCCATGTTTCACCGACAAAATACACAGTCAATTCACTTTATAGTATATTGTGTGAAGCGCTTTGAGACGTCTAGAAGACGTGAAAAGCGCTATATCAAATGCAAAAATGATTACTATTGTTATTATTATTATATATATTCCACATTATACCTAAGAGGCTGTGAGCCCCAGAGTGAATTGCTTACCTTCAATTACAAATAACCTTGGCAAATTTACTCAGAAATAAGCAAAGCCATGATATAAATTGCTCTGGTGCACACCAATGTGTCACTTGTAGATAATGTTATTGTGACAATAAGCCCCTTCTCTCTCTCTCTCTTCTTCATTCAACCCCCCCCAAAAAAGTACAATAAAAAAACCTTTTGAAATCATTTTTATGGAAGATAAAATCGCTCTAAACAATGAAGACCCAAAAGCATGTTTTGGTGCGATGAATCATACTACGGTGTAATACATTGAAATTTGCACTTCCATTAACAGGAGTGACACTGATCTGAAAAGTGTTTTGAAACTATCTGTATGTAAATCTTCTATTTTTGGAAATTGGCCAACTAATAAGGCAATTGCGCTGACAGCATTGATTTGCAGAATTGTTGAGCTGCAGCTTTGACGTTTAGGATTCCCACAACACAGAAATGGGATTAATCACACTTTGATGCTGCATCTGATTAAACAGAAAACTGGCTGGATTTAGTGATAAGGTAATGCATCCTTCACAAAGCGTTGCAGGAACACTGTCTGTCCACTAAAATCTCTCAGATGACATTTCAATGTTTCTTGATGCAGATTAAATTTTCCACTAGGCCATTTTTCAAAAAGATCTATTAATTCTAACAACAGAAAATCTCCTGTCAAATCTGGTAACAATACCGCAGCATGTGCTTAACACCGAGCTTCACACGCAGACATGAAAAGTAACAAAATTTTCTTGAAAAGTGGCTTGTTCGCAGAGCTCTAGGCTGCCCATTTTGAAAAGAAATATGTGACAAAATACGTGCCAATACTCCAATGCAGTGCTGACGGTGCGCTGCATTGTCAAAGCTGCTATCCTTTGGACGAGATATTAAAGTGAGGTCCCGTCTTCACTGTAAAGTGTAGTGACTATGTATTTGTAGATAAAGCCAGCAGCCAATTTGTGCACAGCAAAGAACCACAAACAACAACAAAGTGAATGACCAATTATTATTTTGGGGATTGTTTGTCTGGACACAGGATAAACTCCCTTCTCTTGTTGAGTAGTGCCATGTGATCTTTAGTGTCCAGCTGAACAAAACACAACCTTAGTTTAAAATTTCATCCTAAGGACGGCAACTCCAACAAAGCAGCAGACTTCCAGCACTGCATTGGAGTGTCAGCCTAGACGATGTGAATTAAAAGTCCCAATGTGCGGCTTGAGCCCAGAACCTTCTGACTCAAAGGCAAGAGTGCAATCATCTGATGCACAAGAATATCCTAGTGGATCTTTGAAGAATAGCCATGTTCAGCAAGAAATTGTAGTCATGGGAGCGGGGAGAGAAAGGTTTCTCCTGGAAATAATGTGGCAGGTTTTGACTCTTTTGACTCTGATCCAGCAGAATAATAATAATCCTTGTATTTGGTATATCACCTAAAACATCAAAACACCTCAAATTTTGACAATGCTATTTCCTAACAACTATGAAATTCATTAAGAACTATTCTAAAGTTGACATCTGCATTGCAGACATCTCAAAGCGCTTCACACAATATACTGTAACGTGAATTGACTGTAGATAGTCATTTTCTTTTTCACATTAGTCCAAAGTGAAACTCAATTGTTTGTTTGTACCTGTGTACATGCAGAGGCTGTGCATATGTGTGGGAGGAGTGGGTGGAGTGTGCCCTATCTATGGCAGTCTAGTGCTGATGGTCCCAACACTTTTGCTCCTGGTGTTGGGTTGTCTCTGGCAAATCTGCATCCAATTTATTTTTGCCCACAAAATAGACAGTCAATACACTTTACAGTATATTCTGTGAAGCGCTTTGAGACATCTCGAATATAAGGCGCTATATCAAATGCAAGGATTATTATTATTATTATTTCTAGTGGTAGAATAGAATGATAAACCTTGGGCCCTGTTGATCAATAGAGATTTACATACAGCCCACGGGATTGATCTCCTCGGCTTTTTAGGCATTTGAATTTTATGGATTCTGAAACTAAACACTCATCTCGTAATTAACCAAAATCTGTTAAATATAAAGGTTAGAAGCAAATGTTTTGAACAATGTCTCTGGTTAGATGTCATACTGTTGCTGTCGTTTGACTCTATGCTGAGATTCTATGACTCCAGCACCTCTTCGCCAAGCAGTTGCGCTGGTTCCAGCGTGTGCTCCTACCTGAATGGAGCTCCTTGACCAGCGAGGACATGGTGTTTGTAATGGAGTCAGCTGCCACCAGCAAATCATTTCGCAGGTTTCTCCGAGCACCTGAGCAAAATAAAAGGAACAATCCTGGGAGACCAGACATGGGCAAATGGTGTAGAAATAATAGTAGCCATTTGTCCAGTGAGACATCAGTTACTTGCACACTAGTGAGAGCTCATGTTTAAAAAGGACAAAGAGCAAATCTAAATCTCTGGACCCCAACCAGAAGAACAGTGGCAGTGCTTTTCTGTCACACTGTCCAACACAAGAATTTTTCTTTGCATCTAAGAAGCTGAATTAAGCATTACGTGATTATACAGGGGAGACTCTGAAGTCCTTTCGGTTTTAGCCTGCAAGACTATTTTTCAGCAGCCCTCCTACCTCCTCTGCCCTCCCTCATCCCAACCCTGCCCCACTCAATGCTCGGGTCCTGATCCCTGACTTTTCAGCGCCCTGGAATGTCCTCCCAATTTGAAAAGTGCTTTACAAATGTAATTTTGTTGTTGTTGTATTTTATCTTCAAATTTAAAGTCACATTGACTTGTGGAAAATTCTGTCTTGATTTGGAAGCTGGTTCTTTTTAAGAACCCAAAATAGTCTTACTGGTTAAAACTAGGTAAAATATTAGGTCTTAAGGCAATTAAACTTAAAACTACACCTGGCCCTGAAATGTTTATTTTATAAAAAAAATCCGTTGAACATTAACGGCTCCATTGAAAAATGTGGACATAATAAAGAAATAGAACCCAGTTAATGATTTTGTTTTTATTTGGTGTTTATAACTTGTCTCCCTATTTTTTTAACAATAAACATTGTAAAAAAATCCACTGGAGATGAAAATATGAAAATTTGTGATTCTATTAAACACAATCTATCAACTATCTTTGTATTTCTACAAGTGTTCCCAGTTTTGCTACGTTCAATAAGTGAAAGGACCCTCCACTTGGACTGGCTGTATTTGCAATATTTCTGAGGTGTTTTCAAGGGTGCTCTGACTCAGTAAAAAGTGTCTTCTTAGTGACAATGAAAATTGTAGGATCTGACATTTAAATAAATCCATTAGAGGGCATCATCCAATTATTATGTATTCCTCACCTCAATATTGACTTTGCCTCTAAACCCTATGAAGTGCTTTGAAATGGTTTGACCACATAGTAATAATGTCATCTCAAATGCAAGGGTTATTATTGTTGTTATATTTCACTATGCAATCCCCCAAAATATTTTTAATTTTAGAAGCACATAAATCTGCCCTTTGTATTACTGAAGTTGTTGCAAAAAATGATATAGGTTGAATTGTAAAAGATCATTTCTCCCCTTTATTCTTCTGGCAAAAATCCTCAATTAATGCTCTCTTGTTACCGACTCAACAATCTTTGGAAATATTCTTTCTCCAATTACTAATATTAGCACTATTAGAATTCCCCTTACTACAGCTAAAAACAGTTTCTCCACCTATTTATAATATGACTTCCCTGCTATCATCCGAGAGAATCTTCATTGTAACTTCTTCAAGACTGTATCACTTGCTCAGCCACAGTCAAAGTCCCATGACTTCCTTTCTACAATGTGATGCTAAAAAGTGGTCACCATCCTTCAACTGTAGCCTATCCAAGGTCATGAATAATTCGAACATTACCTTCGTCCTTGTATTGAGTGTCCCTACATATAAAACCAGGAATTTTGTTTGCATGGATCCTAATCCATTGATTTGTTTGCAATGTTCAGGTAACTTAGTTGCTATTACATCTAAAGCAGCATTTGAAATCTGAGAAGTTGTGAAATCCATCTTTAAATTTAATTTAATCCATCCAGATTTTGTGATGTTCTATGTGATTATATTTCTGAACAATTGAGTGTCTGAATACATTGCTAATAAAGAACCTTGGTAATTCATTGCTTTTTAAATGAAATGTGCTTTACTTAAATTCCTCCACTATGTGTCTGCATGCACAGTCTTGCTTCTTGATTTTGTAAATGTGCAACAGGTTGGAATGTACACCGGAAGATGCTTCTCATATCTGCACTGTGCAGAATGACTTTATACTAACCCATGGAATTAGAACAGGCTTGTTTGACAATGTAGTTTGATACTACAATATAAGGTTGAAGCCACAACCTTCTGACTTAGAAACAAGAGTGCTACCAACTGAGACAGGCGTGGGAGCAAAGAAGGGAAACAAAGGAAGAAGAATATTGCTTGTAACTATTTTGTTGACCAGTCTCCTGGGTAACACAGGGTTAATTATTTCAGATGTGATTACATGTGGAATTAAAATCAAAGCTCTGTACAGCCTTACAACAATTAACATTTTATCACAGCGGCTACATCTCCAATATCCTGAAGGATACAAATGTGTGTTTAGTTATTTTTAGTAGAAGAACATATATTAACAATAATTTCAGCTCATTATAAAACTGCCCTTATAAATATTTAATTACCGTTCTTCTCAGGAGTAATTAGTGGCCTGAAAATAATACCGGAAAAAACACCAGGTGGTATAGCCTCACTCTTAGGTTAACCATTGCACTGCCTCTCGTTGACTTCAACCTAACTATTACATTTTTATCACCATCTTCTCCTCCAAGCCAAAATCCAGTCCCGGGGGAGAATGGTGAAGGTGTTTTCTCACTAATGATTATTAAAGGCTCATGATTGAGCTGAGTTCACAGTATCTGGTCATAGGAAGAGCCCAGTCTAGGCTGTATACTAACAATGTCTGAGCAGCATGGTGTATGAGTGGAGTCCTGTGGCTCAGTGGTTAGAGCGCTCACCTCGCAAGCGAGAGACCTGGGCAGGGCGAAACCTTGGGCAAGTCTTCGTACTCCACACGTTTGATAATAATCACGCAAGATAAAGAAAACAATAATAAATTGGTAACGTCAATCCACGACTGTTTGTGGGACACTGCTGTGCGCAATTGACTACTGCGTTTCGCCCACAAATATACAGTCAATTCATTTTCCAGTATATTCTGTGAAGCGCTTTGAGACGTCTAGAAGACGTGAAAAATTCTATATCAGATGCAAGGATTATTATTATATATGATACATCATATTATATTTTCCAGTTTGGGCTGCCCAACCTGTTAGAGCTCATAGGGTTTACTACTGTACATGTTTGCATCTCCAGGCCTATGGAACATGACTTGTTTACCAGCTATGTTTCCTTAGATTTAGCCCAGTCTCAGGGAGTGAGACTCTCCAAATTCCCATTTCTCATTTAATCAAGCTTGAAGTGGTGGAGAGTTAAGTGGCTCATGAATTCAACTGCACGATCTGAAGGAACCAAATCCAGGATAAAGTAACTGAGCAATGATACAGATATCTTGGTCAAAAAATGGCAGAAGAACCTAGGAAAGCATTTTATGTTTTCACTTTGAGTTTCTGTTACTTCATAAGTGTAGCCTTGGCAAGTTCCTCTATAGTGGCGTGACATACAGTGGTTAACCTAGGAAAGCATTTTATGTTTTCACTTTGAGTTTCTGTTACTTCATAAGTGTAGCCTTGCAAGTTCCCCTATAGTGGCGTGACATACAGTGGTTATAGTGAGAATTCCCAGTATTCCAATTATGTTTATTTTTAAAAACAGTCATTTTGGTTTTAAAAGAAAGAACGAAAAAGAATATTGCTGGACTGCAAACCTCAATATGAGTAAACAGAATTCCCAACCTGATAAACAGTCCTTACTGCACTTCACGATGGAGAAGAGAAGGTTGATGGGTGATATGATTACGATCTTTAAGATTCTGAACGGAATAGATAATGTAGACCATGATAATCTTGTATTGAATAGTAAAACCAGAGAATATGGCAGGTGATTGAAAGAAGGGGGTAAATTCAGAACAAATCTGCAGAAACACTACTTCAATCAGCGAATCATAAGCTTATGGAACAGACTTCCTGGGGAGATAATGGAAGCAGGAAGTGTTGTTTCTTTCAAGGACAAATAGGGGAAATTCCATGGAATAGAAAAGGGGGTGTTTAACAGCCACCAATACCCAGCGATCTCTCAAACACCTTCACTGACACCGAGAAGTCTTTTAGAAGAGAAAGTGATGTTTTATACACAGACATTGGTTCTCTATATTGTTGACGGTGTCTATGTGACTGGTATGAAAGCCAGTGATAGCTACTGGTCTGTCTCCCCACCACCTCTCCTCTTTCTCTCTCTAACGTTGTGTTGTTGACTATAACATGTGGGTCATAGCCATCAATATACAAATGTGTGTTTTGTTATTTTTAGTAGAAGAACATGTAAAGGGATCAGAGTTGAAAATGTGGACTCATTCAGAAAACTGGACCTGTGGGAACTCCACTCCAGAAATAGATCTCATGGGAGAAGAGTGGGGTCACGAACTGCCAGTTACTGGAATAAGTCACTTTTGCAAAGCTGAGACCTTTCAAAGAGACTATTAGAAATCAAATGTGTTGTTTCAGTAACCAATGTGCAGCAGAATTACAACTTACCTTGTGCAAAAGCTTCCTGCACATCTCCCCCAACCCCAGACAGAGAGTCCTGAGGACCGTGGGTTGGTGTGGAACATGCAGACGTGGACCTAACGGGCATTGGCATGGGATGACTGGCACCGTGGCTGGGTGAGGAACGCGGGGAACCAGCTGCTTGAGCCTGCAGGATCAGAATATAAGAAGAAAATTGGCCATCTGAGAAAACAACTGCAAAATATATTATACATAGTTTAATTAAACAAATAAATCTCAGTGTGAAGAGACACAAAATGATCATGTCATTCTCCAGCCAAACTACTGAGTTCAGTAAAATGCAATTGCTTAATATTTATCTGTAGTTCTTAAGGTGACCTTCGTGATGGAGAAGAGTGAAAATCTATTGAGTTCTATTTTACTACAAAAATGATGAGAAAGTAATCCTGAATTGACAGACAATTGATTTGACTTGCGGAAAGACAGATTCAGGAAAAGATAGCAACTCCTCAGCAGTACATCCCTTTGTTTGCAGCACAAGTGCTCTGAACTCAAGGAAGATCACATCACACAGACACGTGTCATTACAGGTATGAATTGCAGAATTCTAATGGTTCAGTTGGTAGCACTCTAATTTCTGGGTGAGAAGATTGTGGATTCACACAAAGCTGACAGTCCAATACAAAGCTGTGAGAGTACTGCATTGTTGAAAGTTCCAACCTTCGATTTTCTGAAAATCGTTGCAAAAACGTATTTCCCTATTTCCCCCCTCATACTCAACAGTCATTCGCCCTCCCCCAACCCACAATCTACAAGCCCTCCCCCAAACCCCTCCCAAGCCACCATTCGCAATGTTCTCCAAAATGTCCGCTCCCTCTCTAACAAAGCTCTTACAATTCACGACTTCATCCTGGACGAGCACATTGACATTGATATTCTCGGGCTCACAGAAACCTATCACTTGGTGATCCCATTCCCCACTTCGAAGCCTCCATACCTGGCTAAACTTTCTCTGCCCCCCTACCCCCCACCCACCCAATGTGACATCGGAGTGACTCACCTCATCTCCCAAACTTCTCTTGGTCTAGCCCCCTATTCCTCTGACTCCTTCCTCTCCTTTGATCACCCCATCCTGTACATCCCTCCCTTCTCACCTTCAAAATCTTCCAAGTCTACCCCCGCACCAAAAACACCTAACTCCATCCTCTCCTCTCAACCCTCTGCCTCTGCACTGAACCCCTACTCATAATGGCCAATTTCAAGCCAACTGCTCTGATTTTGCTGCCCTTCTCTCCTCCCCAAACCTTGCCCTCCACATAAACTCCCTGACCCACAAACATGGCCACCTCCTCGACTTCATCATTATCCATGGACTTTAAGTGCTCCAAGGCACTCTGTCAAATGCTAGAATTATTATAAGAATGAGTCACGGAAATAAGAACTAGTCCGTGACCCCATGGAATATCACTCCGATTCACGACAGCACATTACACTGAGTCACAGGAATTATGTTAAACCCACCTGTGGTAAGTCTGCTCTGACACAGTTCTGGAATTACTGCATTTTAGACCCTATCAATTATTTAGGGTGAAAGTGGTTTCAGCAAACATGTCGAACTGTTTTCATATGAAACCATTTCTCACTAAAATAACCCAAATCACTGTCAAAAGTTTAGCCAAACCTGACGTTTTAATTCCAGCACCCTTCCCCTTCTTTTGGCCTCATATTTTAGCGCTCAGTGGAGTAGGGTTTTGTTACTCTTTAGTATTGCAAGCACAAATAAACATCAGAGCTAAGGAGTCCATTAATTCTGTTTGTGGAACCAGACTAATAGCTTTTCTCAGGCATTAATAAAGCCACAAAAAACTTATTGCAAGGCTGTCTCATAGCAACGGCCTGAAAGGCCCACTTTGTCAATATATTCTCTGCCTCAAGCATATGGAAACAAGCCAGGTAGCAGATGGCTAGCGGGTATAATTAGCCTCATTTTGCTGCGGCAAGCTGAAATGGAATAGTTAATAATTCTGCTAACTTCTCACTGCTAATATCTATGGACTAAACAGTTACTTGCTGTTGCTGCTAAACAGTGTCGGTTGATGCAGCTACTTGTGAGAAGATGTTCATTATTTATGAAGAGCACTCATTCAAAAGAAAAGCGTTAATGTGTGCAACAAGGTGCCTTACTAACAGTGTCCCTGACTTTGCAGAATCATTTTTGTTCCATTGGACAAAAAGAGATTTGCATCCTTCTGTTGTCTTCCTCCACTGGAAACCTTATATGTACAATCCACAATAGGTATCAGAGCAGCTGATAGCAATGTTGCTGTGCGCAATTGGCTGCCGCGTTCGCCCACAAATATACAGTCAATTCACTGTGAAGCGCTTTGGGATGTCCTCCTGATGTGAAAAGCACTAAATCAAATGCAAGGATTATTATTATTATAGTCACTGCACTTTACAATATATTCTATAAAGTGCTTTGAGTCGTCCTCCTGGTGTGAATGGCATTATATCAAATATAAGGATTACTATTAATAATAATAAATTATGCTACCCGCGTTGCAAGGTACAAATCAAATTACTGCACGTTAACCCACTATACATTATGGGTTCTCTCTTTCAAAAAAAATGCGACAAACCTTCCTGATGTAAACCTAGGGATTGGTCATAAAATACTGTGATGGGTGCTGAACAAAAATGCACCAGTATCAATAGTAAACTATTTCTTTTTTATTAAGCTGTCTCTGCCTTCTTGTCCTTCTTGACCTTTCTGCTGCCTTTGACATTGCCGACTATTCTATTCTTCTCCACCACTCTTTCCCTCAGCTCCACCTTCTGTCCTTGCCTGGTTTCATTCAGTAGACCACTGCTGTCTTGATGGATTATCTGTCAGACTCAAGTCCTGGATGGGAGCTGATCAGGCCTTAGCTCCCGTCAGTGCATTCTTACCTCAGGCACAGACACTGTCAATCTACATGGATGCACACTCCACCTCACGGAGCCAGTCTGGATTTTTGCATCTTGTTCGACTCTCAACTGTCTTTAAACCCCATATCTATGAATTGACCTATTCAGCTTTCTCTCACCACTGCAACATTGCCCACCTCCAACACCATCTCTCCCCATGGGACGCTGAGACCCTTATCCATACTTTTATCACATCCAGGATTAACTATGCAAATCTCTGCTCGTCGGACTTCCCAATGTTTCCGTCAACAAGCTGCAGACCATTCAGAACTCTGCAGCTCGTGTCCTCTCTTGTACAAGGTTCTGCAAGCCTACGACCCCTGTTCTCGCCCAACTCCACTGCCTCCCAATCCCCCAGATGATGATATTCAAAATCCCAGTCCTAACTTTTAAATCTCTCCATGGTGATGCCCCACCCTACCTCTGCACCTAACTTAAACCATACTAACCCGGCTGCTAGCTTCACTCAACAGACACTGTCATGTCCCCCACCATGTCCACCCCAACATTATGGTTGGGTTTTCAGCCTTCTGCCCCCACTTTCTGGAACTCCATCCTGAAGTCAGTTTGTTTCTCCTTCAAGGTCCATCTCAAGATTTTCCTCTTTAACCATGCTTTTGATCACTTCCGATGCCCACTCCTCCCAAATCCAACTCCTAGCTCAGGCGCAAACTATCGACTGTCGAGTGCTTTGTGATGTCCTCCTGATGTGAAAGGTACTATATAAATCCAATTTGTTTTTGTTGTTTATCTACCAACTCTTAAGAATGACTTAAAAAGTCTATGAAATTCCTTTGTGGAATGAGAATAGTGATAGGTTATGGATTCAAACACATAATGGCAGCATAAAGTCAAATTTAAAGCATGCAGATAACACAAGATATACTCCATACATTATACAGTATACTACAAAACACAATATATACCAGGAAGTGAACTCCAGGACATAACTTAAGTGAGGGATTTAGAAAATGGTTAAAAGTGCACAAGGTTGATTCTCACAATTTATCATATCCTCCAAATTCTTCAATTGAGAGTATGACTGCTCGTAGGTACCCATCCAATATTTGATAGATGCTCATGGAGTAATATTCGTAACAACAACAATTCATATTTATATAGTACCTTACATATTGAGAGGATGCCTCAAATTGCTTCATACAACTGAATGATGGGTGCCTGAGATTGGGGGGGAGGGGACAGCGCAGTTGAAGAACACAATCCTGAGATGGATTTTGAAGACAGGAAAAATTAAGGACATTTAAGGAACAGAAAAAGTGCATTTAGCTCAAAGAACCTCTTTCATGTTGATTTTGTGGAGTCCTGTAGCTAGGTGGTTAGAGCACTCGCTTTGCAAGCGAGAGACCTGAGTTCAATTCCAGGCAGGGCGAAACCTTGGGCAAGTTTCCTTACTCCACACGCCTAATAATAATCCCTCCAAAACCAAAAACAATAATAAATTGGTCATTTTCAATCTACGACTGTTTGTGGGACATTGCTGTGCGCAATTGGCTGCCGCGTTCGCCCACAAATATACAGTCAATTCACTTTACAGTGTGTTCTGTGAAGCGCTTTGGGATGTCCTCCCGACGTGAAAAGCGCTATATCAAATGCAAGGATTATTATTATTATTATTTTCAAGTTATCCCTCAATTACCTATTTTGGCCAGAAAAGCAATGGCAGTTGTTTTTTAGCCAATTCACTACAATGGTTTGCCCAGCAATATCGTGAGCACTGTAGGGATGGAAATTGCACCTGAGACAAGAGTTACTCTATTTTCTTAATGTTTCAGACTGTCCAAAATTTGTCAATTCTGAAATTCAATCTTAATTTGGAAGACGGTTTTCTATAAATTGTTTCAAGGCCTACAGAAACCCAACTTCAAAGTGAGACTCAATTCAACAATTTCCTATATTCTGAATGCTCTAAAATGCTAAAAACAATTCATATTTCTCCTTCCTTCTCTCTCCACAACTCCCCTCCCCCATGTAAGGATCTATATAAAGTGACTTAGATGAGACGTTGAAATTAATTCCATTCTCGCAACATCGCTACATATCTACAATCTCTAAAAGTAAATTCCACAGTTGACAAGCTAATCGAGCCACAGCCTTTTTGCTTACTTGAATGGTGGGCACCAGGGTACCTGACATTCCAATTACACAGCTCCTACTTCTTACAGAAGCAGGTTTGCATTTCCAAATAAAGCTCCACAGATC